CATGATTGAAAAGAGAGGGGGGGGTATTTCCCAGGTTGGAGCAAAGACTTGAAGGGAGACTTGGCATTCAGGCTTTCCTTGCTCCAACTTGGTCTATACCCCGTTTCCTGAGTGCTGGCCTAATGTGCCTGTGCACCAGGCAGGTCATACACTGCTTTCATGATTGAAAAGAGATTTAGAAAGGTCCTTTAATTTATCATGTAAAACCCTGAGGCCATAAGACACTGGTATCATTTTAAAAAATATGAGCCTGCATGTATCTCCCCTCCCCCCACTTCCCCCTTTAGAGCTGGCAGGGGCAGGGGTGGAGGGGTGGGTGGGTGTTCTCTTTCCTACCATAAGTTTCAGGTACAGTTATCTAGGAGACAGTGAGATCTTGAGAAAATGGGCCACACCAGTTGCCATCAGGTGCCTCTGACTTGGCGTGATACATGTATGTCAGTAGACCTGTACTCCATAGGGTTTTCCATGGCAGAATATTTTGGGGAAGTAGATCACCTAGCTTTTCTTCTGAAGCGGCTCTCAAGATAACCTCAGTGCCCTTGAATCCATTCTGATGCATAGTGGCCCTCTAGAACAGGGTCTATAGGGAGGGCCCTGTGGGATTCTGCGATTGTAAATCCTTATGGGAGTAGAAAGGCTCTTCTCCCTTGGAGCTGCTTGGAAGGAAGGCACTGGGAGCCATCAAGGGCTCCTCTATCTAATCTTTTGGTTAGCTCTGCTTGTGGAAGGTCTGCTCCACCCAGACACTCCCTTCATTCTACCAGGGTCCCCAGTCACAACAGAGTGATGGTGAGCATCACGTAGGCAAACAAAGCCTTGAGCCAAACAGCAGCCCGCTGCCATCTGCTTGGTTGCAGATGTACCTAGCATCTAATGGTGATTCATCCCATTCCATTCCTCTTTGTATCGCAGAAGTACCTAGCATCTGATGGTGATTCATCCCATTCCATTCCTCTTTGTATTGCCGGTGGTCACTCAGTCCTGGTTCAGTGAGTACTAAACAAAGAACTCCATACAAACCAACTCCCTGCAATCGAGTTGATTCCAGTTTAGGAAAGGACAGAATTGCCCCTTTCGGTTTCCAAGACTGTCATATGGATGGGAGCAGATCGCCTGTCTGCCTCCTGGGGAACAACTGGTTAGACTGCTGGCCTTGCAGTTAGCAGCCCCACGTGGGATCCTCTAGTAAGAGTGGGTACTAATTAGACCTCTTTCCAAAAGAACTTGAACATTAATTGTAAAACACCTGGTGGCAATTTTCACGGGTTGACGCAGTGGCTGCCTCAAAGGGCTCCTCGTGAAGATGGGGCCGAGCTAACCAGTTCTTCACGGGAAATTATAGTTCAGTACACTTGAAGTGAGAGGAAAGTGAAAATACGACTGATGTTTGATTTAGAACTTTATCTTTTTCTTTTTTTTTTGGTCAAGAGCTCTATTAGTCAATTTTGCAAACTCGAGCACTGACATCTCAGATGATGAGAGGGCAAGTGTGCCCAGCCCACCAGTGGTTTCAGGAGCTTCGCTTGGCTGAGCACTGTGGAGTTAACCATCTCTCCCCAAGCAGTCTACTTCCTTATTTAGAGTTTCTGCCTCCAGGGCAGATTGCCTTCCCTCTCCCTGCCTTGATTAATCCAATTTACTTGATAGCTTGAGTTTTATTTGGAACCGACTTCTTGACTTCGTTCTAGTGTGCTGATTCATTATTTTGGGGGAGGAATTAAGCACATCTGTGAAAGGATTTAGTTCTCAAATAAATGTTGGCTAAAGTAGTTAGAGTTTTTGGATTCCCTTGGGACTGGCCTTTTCCCCCTTACATCCCTTCTTTGTCTCCCCTTTGGCTGAGAGGAGTTAAAGGTAGTCATGACTAATTGCCTGAGTCGTGTTTTACTTCTTGCAGACTTGCGGGAAGTAGAGGAGGGCTAAATATTATGACAGATTTTCATTACATCGTACCTTTTTGTTCTTGTTCTTGTTAACTTTTGCCAGTTTTTCTTTGTGTGTGTGTGTGTGTGTTTAAAAACAAACTGGCATAACATCCAGAACCTGCCTTTGGCAGCGAAGGCTAGGGCTTGGAACACCGGGTGCTCCTACAAGCCTGTGTCCTTAGCGCCAGTGCATCGTTTTTAGCCCAAATATGCTGCAACCAAGTGTTTTACCTTCCGAAGGAAGTGCAAGCTAAGCCCTTCTCACCGAGTATGTTACACACACACAGAGAGAAGCAAGTCCTTAATAGGCGTTAGCATATCTATTGTATATTGTACATGTGTGTTTGACCGACCAAGAGAGTAGAAAATTTTTTGTGAACATATATGGCTGGTACTTGCTGTGCGCTACTTTATGTAGTATGGATGCATCTCCTTTTTCAAAAGTACTGTGTCTGTCTCCTAAGTTTCCTGTAATCCTTTGGATTGCTGGGGTCAACTTGACCCCATGTAGATGGTCCTTGAAGGAGGACGACACTCACACGGCTGCCCTAGTTAATAAGTAGGCTTCACGCTGCAGTGTTTCAGTTTGGAATGCATTTCTGGCCCGGGTGGTATTCCTGGTACCAATATAGATCAGAAATGTTGCCAGGGATATTTGTACCAGCAAAGCTCTTTTAATGATGCCCTTCAATTCTAATTCTGAAATTGACTTATAAATGCTAAAATGTTTTCAGGTTTTAAAAAAAAATTTAATCATTTTATTGGGGCTCATACAACTCATCACAATCCACACATGCATCAATTGTGTAAAGCACACTTACGCATTTGTTGCCCTCATCATTCTCAAAACACCCGCTTTCCACTTGGGCTCTTGGAATCAGCTCGTCATTTTTCTTTTTTCCCTGCCTTCAGTTCTCTAATATTCCCTGGGGACAGTAGAGACTCCAGTCTCAAATTAAGTCTTAGAAAGGACAAAAGGCATCACGCAGACCGACTGAGCACCTGGATGAGGGAGACCATTGGCATGAGGTCTTAAGTCAGGATGCCAGTCAAATAAAGGGACACAGGAAGCCTTCACCCATTCATGCTTGGTGGCAGATCAGTGCCACAGTTACAGGTCGGGCTATAGCATCGGGAAGGGACCTTGATTGGGCTGCATTATGTTAGCTAGAAGAGCTTACAAGGTTGGTACAAGGCCATCAAACCAGGCAGCTAGGGCAGCACCGCCCATCAGACACAGAGAAAGAAGCCTCCATGGGAGAGTGCCCTCCCTGGGCTGGCTGGAGAAGGCGGAGGTACCCCACCTGGCAGTGCATTCTGACAGTCTACCCCCTTGCGTTAGTGACAGAGGGAAACCCGAGGAGGTTGAGTCCACATGGGGACTCTGCAGGTGGATTTTGCGTTTTCACTGTCAATCACTGCCTTTTGTAAACTTGGTGCTCAGAATTAAAGTTCTAACACAACAACAAAAAGATTTATTTTTTTTGGAGACCTTCCTAAGGAATACTATCTTAGGCCAAGCTGGCCTCCAGATCAGAGTCTGACTGCCCATTTTGGGGCCCCCACCCCCACCCCCAGTGGTTTTCTGACCTGTGGGTCGTGACCTCTTTGGGGGTTGAACGACCCTTTCACAGGGGTCGCCCATTCATCACAGAAAAATGACGGTGATGAAGTAGCAATGACAATAATCTTATGGTTGGGGGTCACCACTGCATGAGGAAGTATATGTCAGGGCCGCGGCCTGAGGAAGGTGGAGAGCCCTGCACTCACATGACTGCTGCCCTTGCTGCTTGATACCTTTCCAGTGTAGACCGCCCCCAGCTGGCCTCTGAGGCTTCTCTGAAGTCTCTCAGAGGGGAGCTCTTAGGGGTCCAGCTAGCTGCCACTGCTCCCCGGGACTCAGCTTTTTATCCACAGGACCACTGGCCAGCCTGGAAATTGCTGTCCGTGGCCAGATCCGCACTCCTGGCCTGTGGAGAAGGCCGGTGACATGCCTGCTGACTCAGACCCTCCTCCAGTCCCTCCCCGCCACCCAGCCAGCCTCACCGGACGGTCTTGCCTAGATAGGGCTGTGGGCAGGTTTGACCGGTGCAGTATATATATTTATTGGATTAACTCCATTAAAAAAAATATTTATATATTCAAAAGCACCATAAAAAGGTGAAGATAAGCAACTAACTAGGAATTGGTTCATAACAGGTAACTAGGTGTCGACCAAATGACAGATGGCACGGAAGCGGGTTGTGGGTATAACAAACAACGATGGTTCTGCCCTGGTGCCTTTCAGCCATCCAGACTCAGAAAACCAAGCTCACTGCCACTGAGTTGATGCTAACTCCTGGCAGCCCTCCAGGGCAGGGCAGAACTGCCCCCGGGGGTTTCTGAGACTAAGTTTTGCGCCCTGGATGGGCGGCCTTGGTTGGCAGTTTAGAACTGCTGACCTTGCAGTTAGCAGCCCAGCTCCTCCACCCTTCCACCACCGGGGCTCTTTCAGACTCACTGCAACGCTAGAGAGCAGGCTAGAGCTGCCCCCAAAGGGTTTCCAAAGCTGTGAACGCTATGGAAACGAATTACCATAGCTTTCTACCGAGGAGCCGTCAGTGAGTTCCAACTGCTGTTGGAGATTATATCCGCAGAGCTTGACCACCCTGTCACCTGGCCTCCAAAGGGCGCAGAGAAATGCAAGTTAAAACAAGGAAAAACTTATGCAGAAGAAAACCATATTTCCCCATCTGCTTAACAGTACTCAGGAGGCTGGACTGGTGTGACGAGCCTGGGCTTTGGAGGACAGACCCGGGTAGGAGGACCTGTGTGGCCCTGTGCTCGCTGCCTCTACTCTCTGGGCTGTCCACTTTCTCCTCACCACCACCTGGCCAGACACAACCTGACCATTTGGAATCTGCCCTAGATCCTTCGGATCAGGCACTGCATGGTTTAATCTAAACTGTTTGTTTGTTTCATGACCTTTTTGTGTTTAATGGCCTTTTTTTTTTTTTAACTCTTCGTAGTCTAGTCTTGACTTCTGACAACAGTTTGCATTACGGGCATTGTGATCTCTCGCTCTCTCTGTAGAAGTGAAGCTGTCGTCATTTCTGGAAAGAAGCTTGCCCAGCAGATCAAGCAAGAAGTGCGGCAGGAGGTGGAACAGTGGGTGGCATCAGGCAACAAGCGGCCACACCTGAGTGTGGTTCTGGTCGGCGAGAACCCTGCTAGTCACTCCTACGTCCTCAACAAGGCCAGGGCCGCTGCAGATGTGGGTATGTGGCACGCTAACGCTGGCTGCTCTTAAGATTTATCTCGGGCAAACGCATGATTCTTTTAACTCATGAAGGAATCCTCATGGTGTGGTGGGTTGTACAACTAGCTGTTCACCAGGTCAGCAGTTCGAACGCAGCAGCCTCTCAGCCAGAGAAAGGTGAGGCTTTCTGCCCCCGTAAAGATTTACAGCCTCAAAAATGAGCTGACACCAGGGGCTCAAGTGGAAAGTGGGTGTCGTAAGAATGATGAAGTCAACCTATGTACTAAAGTGCTGGACACAAATGACGTATGTAAAGATTGTGATGAGTTGTATGAGCCCCTAATAAAATGATTATTTTTAAAAAAAGGAAAAGATTTACAGCCTCAGACCCAAAGGGGCGTTCTTCTCTGACCTGTAGGGTCATTATAAGTCACAGTGGATGGCAGTGGGATAGGTGTTGGTATTACTAGCTGTAAGGTCGGCAGTTCAAACTCACCAGCTGCTCCTCAGGAGAAAGATAGGGCTGGTCTGTTCTTGTTAAGTTTCACAATCTTAAGAAACTATTGGTTTTATCTATTGAGGAGGCTGGTGGGCGAGGCAGGAGGGATGTGGCTGGTATTCTTGGTGTCAGCTGAAATAGAAGCTAAATTCGATTCTGAGTCTCAACAGTGGACAGATGCCCTTGACCATGTTTTTCATGTCCTTTCCCTGAGCAACAACGAGAGTCTCTATTGTGTGTGTGCTTGCACATGCACGTCAGAACTGTCGCTGCTGATAAATGGGCTCTATTTGAAGGTCGTGAACATAAAATTGTTGCTATTAAAGTCTCTGTAAGACCGAAGGGTTCCCAGCATTGTAAGGCATAGACGAAGAGGTTGGGGCAGGGAATGAAAGGGAGTGAAACAAGGGCACAGCATAAGAGTAAGAGTACATAACTAACGTCGCTGATCACGATGTCTAGAAACTGGAATGCCAGTGAGTGTTGCTACTTATATTTTCACTGAAAACATGAAAAAAGCAGTGGGGTTTTGAAATGCTGAAGGGTGAGTCGTGGGAATCTAAGAAGTGAGTGTTCTAGGTCTCAATGTACCACAGGCTGCAGCCAAGAAGTGGGCGGACTCAGATGTGCCTCTGCCCACTCATCCAGGGATCAGTGTCCGAGTGCCAGATGCCTTCCTGCTCCAGAGGCCGTGACTCCACTGGCTCGGCTGAGCTAAGAATTATTGGGCTGATGAGCTCTTGGTATACTCTATTCTTATCCCTAAGGGTAGCGATCTCCTGCCCTTGTAATGGAAAAACCCTTAGTCCCCTCTAGGAAATGGCAAGCCACGCCTTTTAAGACTCTGGCAGGTAGCCTGGTGCAGTAGAAGGCATGTGGAGCCCCAAAGATCTGGGCTTTTGACTTCTCATTCTGACTTTGTCACTCACTGCCTGGTTATTGGACTTCTCTGAGACTCCTTATTTGTAAAGTTGGCTTCCTGAGGATTGCACAAAGCAAGGGGAACTGAGCGCTGAAGTAGCATCCCCTGCTGTCTGCACCCTTTGGTGAAGTTCCTTGTTTAGGCCCTTTGAGAGCTATTTTAGCTTTGCAGCAACCAGGACCTGTGGCAAGAAAAAGCCTCTGGCAGGCCAGCCTGCAGGCAGACAGCTGTGCCCTGGCGGCCTCGGGGGGGTTTGTTTTGCTGATCCCGAATTTCCCCTCCAGGAATCAGCAGTGAAACCATCTTGAAGTCCGCTTCAATTTCCGAGGAAGAGCTGCTGGACTTAATCAATAAACTGAACGGCGATGACAGTGTAGATGGCCTCCTTGTGCAGCTTCCTCTCCCAGGTGAGCTGTGAGCTCCTCTGTCTACAGCGAGGTCTGAGGCCTGGC